TGATCACATTCAAGACCATCTAAGGAACTGAAGGTACACAAGTCCATGGATCCTGAGGGAACTGGTGGATGAAATGACTGAGCCAATGTCCATAGTATTTGAGAAGTTGTGGCAGTCTTGGAGAGTTGGGCCTGTGGTAACTTCATGGAGTTCAGTAAGGTCCTGCCCGTGGGCCGGGGCAATCCCCAGCACAAACCCAGGCTGGGCCCTCGAGGAGTGGCTGGAGAGCAGCCCCAAGGAGAGGGGCTGGGGGGGTTGGTGGGGGGAAAACTGCCTGTGAGGCAGCCCCGTGCGCTGGCAGCCCAGAACCCACCCGTGTCCTGGGCTGCAGCCAGAGCAGGGGGGGCAGCAGGGCCAGGGAGGGGATTCTCCCCCTCTGCTCCGCTCTGGGGAGACCCCCCTGCAGTGCTGGGGCCAGCTCGGGGGCCCCCAACAGCAGAAGGACACGGAGCTGCTCGAGCGGGGCCAGAGGAGGCCACGGAGATGCTGGGGGGGCTGGAGCAGCTCCCCTGGGGGGCCGGGCTGAGAGAGTTGGGGGGGTTCAGCCTGGAGAAGAGAAGGCTCCGGGGAGCCCTTCGAGCGGCCTCCCAGGGCTTAAAGGGGGGGCAGGAGAGGTGGGGGGGGACTCTGGGTCAGGGGGTGGGGATGCAATGAGGGGTAACGGGTTTAAACTGACAGAGGGCAGATTTAGGTGAGATAGGAGGCAGAAATTATTCCCTGTGCAGGGGGTGAGGCGCTGGCCCAGGGTGCCCAGAGCAGCTGTGGCTGCCCCCTCCCTGGAAGGGTTCAAGGCCAGGTTGGACGGGGCTGGGAGCCCCCTGGGCTGGGGGAAGGGGGCCCTGCCCGGGGCAGGGGGGGGCACTGGGGGGGCTTTATTGTCCCTTTGAACTGAAAGCGTTCTATAGTATTTACTTTACTAGCTTCCTTGCTTAGTAAACAATGAAATAGGCCACCACTTCTGGAAGCAGGTGTGTGTATACGGGCATGCACCTGGGATGAAACAAAAATGTGCCAAGTTACTAGAGCTGGGTGATAGTCCCCCAAGAGTGCTAAAAGAACTTGAATGAAGTAGCTAAAATAACAGCTGGTGTGTGTTGGTTTCAGCGGAGAAGCTTGTGGGGGGCTGACAGGTGTGATTATTTAAAAACAAATAATTAAATAAAAGAAAAAATGGAAACAAACTAACAAAAAAAAAAAAAGAAAACCAAAAAAAAAAAAAAAAAACCAAAACCAAACCAGCTCCAGGAGAGAAATAGAATCACAGGCCAGTCTAGTAGCAATAAGGATTGAGACTGGCATTGTTAAACACCTTGATGAATACGACATATTAGAGTAGTGTCAGTATGGCTCTTTGAAAGGAAGATATACCTCTCGGAGCTCGTGTAGGATCAGCAAGCATACAAATAGGGTGATCTGGGAGACACAGTTATGATTTCCAAACATCTTTCAACAGGTTTCCTTCTCAAAAGAAATCTAGTAGCTGGGGCTAAGGGGGAAGGTCCTTACATGGGTAAAGAAGTTAATTAAAATACAAGAAATGGAGCTGATTGATTTTCCTAGCAGAGGGAGGTTGCTAGTGGATATAGATCTGCAAAGATCTGAGCTGCTCAGCATGTTGTAAATGACTGGGAAAAAGAGGTGAGAAGTTAAGTGGCATTGCAAATGCAGCACTTTTATTGAAGATAAATAAGATAAATTGTTTCGACTAGGAGGATTGTAAAAGGACCTTGTGAGATTAACTGGGTTTGAAAATTGCACATCTGTGAAGTAATCCACATAGTAAAAATGATCTTATCATCTGCCTGGTAGTATCTGAGATAATTTATTGCTCAGGAGTTGAGTTTTGAAGTCATTACAGTTGTCTGGAAGTATCTCAAACTTCTGTAAGCTAACTAGAAAAGGCGTTAGATGTTGTGAATTGAGAGCATCATGGGTGCAGTATGGATTTATGATGTAGCTTACTGTCTTGAGTATTGTGCATTTCTAATACTCTGATCTAAAAGGATATAGCTCATTTGGAAAAACTGTGGAATGGCTAAGGTAGCATTTCTCAACAGGTAAAGAATATTATTGCAAAGTTTTAAGTGGAAGGGATTAAATGATACATAGTGTCTACAAATAGAAAAAAATAAGAGCAGTGTGAGAAGCTATGCAACTCCTTGCCACAGGATGTTGTTTATGCTAGAAATGTGTGGGGATTTAAGGAGAGATTTGACAATTAAAAGATTCAGTGAGAGATCCTGTATTGCATAGAAGCCACATATGGCCCAGGAGCTCTCTGAGCTGGAAATTGCAGGAGGTCAAAGGAATAGCCTTTTGTCTTCTATAGGCGTGTGGGTTTTGCTGCTGTTCCTATTTGTTGACTGACAGGAGCGAGGCGAATGTGTTGAAAACCTAAAAATATTTCCCTGAAGGTATGTGTGGAGGGGGAGGATATACATGAACTCATCAAATGAGTAAGAGGAGGGAACAAAGGATGGAGGGGGAAGGGAAGAGAAAAGGTGTCAAAAGGATCCAAAAGCTTTACAGTTTTAAAATGAGCGAAGGGGTCATAAATAACAAGGGGAGAAATGTAGGCAGAAGCACTGATTGTGGAGGAGCTGGAAGAGGGGCAATACTGAATGTACATCTCGTGGTGCAGCAAAGGCATGGGTGGAAAAAAATTGTAACATCCACTATACAGAACCTTTCTGTGGTTTTAATGCTGCTTTTGAACAGGAAACGGGCAGGTTTCTGGATATTTTTCTAAAGTGATGTTTTGCCTATGGGGAGATTATGGCATGTATGTGCATACACGTCTAAGGAATTACAGGCAGAAGAGCTGCAGGCGCACTGGGGAGCAGAACGGTGCAAGGTGTGTTTTGGACTGCACAAACACCGTGGTTATATCGAGCCCACCCTGTGCCCAGGCTGAATTCCTGCTTACCCGATCAAAGTTCGAATCTACAGGCAAGTCCCCCAGTTAACCATTTTTTCCAGTTGCTTCAGACTTCAGGCTGGAGTGAAGGAAACGCCTCCTTTTCAGGCCAATCAAGATGTGTCTTATCTGTGGGTGGACTTCACTGGCAGCTGGAGTGTTGTCAAACAACACTTCTTGTCTCATGAAAGCTAAAGGTGTATTTACATGTGCTTGAACAAGTGACCTGGGCTTCTGAGTAACACTTGGAGATGGTCCCAAAGAGTTGTCATCCTTCTCTGGAGCAAGGGGGCAGCTTTTCATCTTGGCTGATGCTTCCTTGTGCAGCAAGCCAGCTCTTATCTTTCCTTTGGTTGAATAATGTGTAACCTTTTGTTGCACAAACTGTCTTCATTTTAAGCTTTGTTCGTGGTATGAATCAGTGGCTTAATTTTCTGGCCTGTGTGCTGAGTGAAGGTAATCTTTTTGACTAGTTGGTATTCTTGATAATTAGTAATAGCAGTAGTCCTGCTACTGCAGAGGGCCAGCTGTTTTCCTCTGACTGGATTGCTGTCTTCAGACTAAACTTTGGTATATGCTGATGTACCTTCCGAACAGCGGAACTGTTTTTTTGGAGTGGGGGGGAAAAAATTGACAGTATTTTGCTATCAAAGCATGATTCTTGTTCTAGCATGATACAGAGTTAAAAGCGTTGGTCGTGGTAGAGGTGGGCAAGAAACACAGCTTAAAATCCTGCACTGGTGATGGTGTGCTAGGGAGGGAAGCATTTTGTGTTAAATCAGTTATTTGCTTCTGCAGGCAGTCGTGTGGTTGTAGTTAGGTCAGAGGGTGATAGAGGTTTACTGTAGTTTCTTAATGTGCCAATAAATTTGTACTTAATTCAGTTTCAAGATGAAAATTGTCATGTGTCCTTTATTACAGCAGTTGGGAAAAAGTTTGTGATCCTCAAATCTAGCAAAATTAATGCTGAAATCTTTAAAACTTTCCAGGTCTGAAATGATGATAATCTGGAGGCTTCTCTTTGCTGCACCTTGGGTTGATTTAGGCAGAAGCTTATTAGAATGTCTTTTAAAAATTCTGTGTCATTTGAAGTCTTTAGAATAGCTAAAGAAAAAGGGTATGTTTTAATAATAAATCATGGGTCTTTGTGAAGTGGATTGTGTCCTAGATGATCTCACTTAATAGTTCATCATGCTTTGTCATTTGGGTACTTTTTGCATCTGCCAGGGAACAACAAAAAAAATTACTGACTCTAAGCAATCCCTTTAAAACACAGCTTAGCATCCTGGGAAAAGCTGTTATATTTTAGCTGTAAGTTTGTACTAAAGCATATCTGTGAAGCTTATAGTAAAAATTTTATTTGGTTAAAAAAAAAAAAAAAAGTCTTGGAGTTTTTTCCAAACACAGCCCATGATGGGGGAGTTGCTATCTGTTTGTAATGGTTCTGCGTTAACAGAAATACTGAGTTACTGCGATGTCCTTGTGCCTTCCCATGTGCTGGGGAAGGGGACGCTGTTGCATCCAGTGATGGGCTTGACTTGGTTTGTATGTTAACAAAGCCTTGTAGCTGGCTTGGTGATTTGCTGTCCTCCTCTCAAATTCCTGATGGGAGGAGGAAATGCTATTTAAAAATCTAATATTTAATCCCAAACCGGTATATTAACTGTAGCATGGTCACTGGATCTTCCCATACCTGCGAAGGAGCACAAGTGCCTAGGTTCGCACAGGGAGTCAGAGACATGTACTGAGGTTAGGGGCACACACCCTTACTCCTTTTCTAGCTTTTGTTTGCCATGTTTGTATTAGAAACTAGCTGTAGCCTAACTACATTTATTACAACTTCTTAACGTTTTATGTAAGAGCCAGTACCTTAAGTTGGGATAAAATTTAGGAAGCTTGGGTGCTTTAAAAGAGGTCTGTATTACACTGAAATTCCCAAACAGCTTTTTTATCAGGCACTGGAGTAAAAGAAGTTCAAAGTCTACTTCTTTGAGCCTTCGTTGCTGACAGCTGTGCAATATACTGGTGTGTTTGTTTTAAAGCACAGGCTCTTGCTCATCCTTCGCGCTTTTTTCTTTTTTAGTTCAAAACCCATTTCTTCACCTTTGATTGTACAAGTTGGACATGCAGAGACACTTCAGCCACTGCTTGCCCTCATGGGTTTCTTCAAAGATGATGAGCCTCTCAAGGCAAACAATTACGTCAGACAAACGCATCGGAAATTCCGCAGTGGCCGGATTGTGCCTTATGCAGCCAACCTGGTGTTTGTGCTTTACCACTGTGACCAAGTGAAAACCTCTAAAGAAGAGTATCAGGTGCAGATGCTGTTGAATGAAAAACTGATGACATTTCATCACTCGAATGAAACCATCTCTACTTACGCGGACCTCAAGGACTATTACAAGGACATCCTGGAAAACTGCCACTTCAAAGAAGAGTGTGAATTACCGAAAACTAATGTTACTGTTATTGATGAACTTTGAGGGAGTGAAATGGAGCGAGTGTTCTGCAAACTGATCTTGGTTCTGTTCAACGGATGTTGTGAACAAGCACTTTTGATGATGTGCTGCTGCTGTGTTGACTTTCTAAACTTGCAGATTTGATGGCCTGTCTCAGCTCAGTGCACTGTTTATTACATAAGCAGAATTACAAAAACAAATGTTGTAACAGGGATGTTGCTGAGCATTTATAACAAATATGTGATGCAAGATGAAGCGTACCTGTATGTTTATATGTGCAAATAAGTAATTTCATTGGTCATTCTTCTTATGAATGTGCCATAGATGGATTTAAGAGCTGGGGCAACTTCTGTTTTATCAGAGTTGAAAGTGGTTGGGCTGATTTGCTTTGCGCTGCCTGTTTTGCTAGCGACTGTTTTCCTGTGGCAGGCATGAAATAATTCAAACCTGTGAGCTTTTTTTTCCCTTTTCCTGAGCTTCTAGGAGGGAGAGGGTACGTAGTTCTTCTCCACAGCTGCCCAACTTCTGCCTGGACAGCACCATGGGAACATCTCTTTCTTGGGCATTTAAAGCAGGGGTTGCAGTGTTGCATGCATTATCTGCCTGAAAAGGGTCCAGGAGTTAAGTCTTAAAACTCATCATCGACCCATCCCGCGTAGCAAGTTAGGGTAAGTAAATTATCTTTAAAAAAAAAAAAAAAAAAGAAAGAAAAAAGCAAGGGAGTGGGAAGTAGCCGCTCCTCCTTTAAGGTGTTCTGGGAGATGCAGCAGTAGTTCTGTAAGTAATCTGGTGCATCCTTTCATTTGACACCATCAGTTTGGTTTGGGCTAGGGCTTTGAGAATAGGCTCTGCTATGGCTGTGAACATCTTGGTCCTGTCCAGGTGCTGACAGATATTCTAGCAGGTCTGGTTGGAATGGACTTCTGGAGGACTCCAGTCCAGCCTCCTGCTTGAAATGGGATTGTTGCTAACTCTAAATCCAGGCAGATTTTGGACTGTAAAAAGTATCTGGTTGAGACTTGACTTCTGCTAGCTTTAAGGCACCAAATGTGGCATCACTTACGTAGGTCTTTACCTGTTTAATGTGCCACATTGTTCTTGAAATGAAGATGGTTTTAAAGAAATTAACTGCATACAGGTGCTGGTGATCTTTTAAAGCAACTGCACTTTGGGTAGGGTCACTTGCTACTGAGAGTTGGAAGGTATTTTGGAGCTCTGCAGTGTGGCAGAAAAAGGACAAATTAAGATAATTGTCTGGAAATGTTTGAAATGCAGAAAGTCAGATAAAAATCCCTTCATCACCCAGAAGGGAATGACTGTGAACAAGTTGTCCCAAAGCCAATGAGGGTGTGGATTTACAGTGCTGGTAGCTCTCGAAGTGTGTACTCACACCCTGTAATGAGCGTTGTTACAGAGCTCACCCTGTAAAGTGTGGCATATTTGCTGTTTCCTGGGAGGAGGTGAAAGGTTGGTGTAAGTGATTACCACAGGGTATCAGGTGCGCTGTAAGCATTTATACCCTCATTTCCTGCAGGGTAACTTCTTGTTGTAGGCTCACCTTCAGAACTGGGAACTTAACTGCTGGGGGAAAAAAAAAAAAAAAAAAAAAAGGGGGGGGGAGAGAGAATACCAAAGTGGCTTAAAGTTGCAAAGTTGGTGTATTATTTTTTTTTTAGCTTTTCTTGAGGACTTAGGCTTCTGTTACTTTTTTTTTTTTAATATGGCTTGTATAAAAGCACTTAAGCTTTACATATTTGGAAGTTAAGGAGCAATCGAAAACCTGTTTTTTACTGTTGTACTGAGTTAAGGTTTTCTTGCTACGTTGGGACGTAGGGCCCTCTTTCATCAGTGCACTGATTTCTGTGGAGACCAAGGTTCTGATTGCTGAAGATACTGATTAAAACTGGTGGATATTTCAGCATTAACATCATGGTCAAATACTTACCAGTGTTAGCTCTGCAGCTCTTTTTCTGGAACTGGTGAAATGGTTAGGGAGGAGTATAGATGCTGAAACAAAACTATAGGTCAGGATAATTGTCAGCCTCAGCGTGAGACTTTTACTGCTCTATCTGTTTTGCATGTGTCCTTTTTTACATGGTCCTACCTTGAGACTAAGTCAGCTGATCATAATTACTGTGACAGATGCCTGTTAGGAACTTTATTGGAATATTTGAGGCAAGCTACAAAGAAATGAACCTTTGTTTAAAGGCAATTAAGTTTGGTAAGTAGCAGATACAAGGATGAGAAAATCCACCTTTGAACAAATATTTTTTCTGTGAGTCAGTCATCCTGTGGTGATTCATGATTTGAACAGGAGGGATGAAAGCCTCACTGTTGGAGATGAGTGGAGGATTTCTGTTTGTCAGTTCAGTGAGGCTGATTTTAAGACATCATGTTTGTTAAAAGATACATCCTGCTTCCTTATGGAGGAGAAATATGTTGCACTTGACTGCTTTTTTTGATCATGTGCCAGAGGAAGTGGAGGAACCAAAAAAATTCCTTTTACAGTGAAGCATCATTTGGTTCTGCATTACCAAGTTGACTGTATGCTTATATTCTGTGCAAAGGGCTTCAAAGATGACTCTTCAGAGGCTGGTGGCTATTTTGCCTGGGAGTACAGGTCTATCATACCTCCAGCATAACAAGTCTATCTTCACTGGCTGTCAACAATTAACTGAAAAGGAAAATGTGCTGTTTGGTTTCTGATCTGTTATTCAAAGGATGTGCTGACTCACTCCTTTTGCAGAATTAGAGTCTGAATGTGGAAACTTTGCACAGTTGTAGCAATAGAAGTGTTTGGATGTGTAGATGTTCTAGACACTTGTTCATGTGACTGATTCCTACTGTTAAGGAGGTGACTTCAGTAGACCCTTCTATTGAGCAAATATATGAATTTGTTTATGTACTGAAAACTAAAATGGATCAAATTATTTCCATAAAGTTGGGCACTAGCTTAGTGATCAGTGTTTGAACAGGCTGCCATATCTCATGGCATTGCAGATTATACCACATCCTGAGAAAATTCTTCAAGAAAACCTTGATGTGGTTCTGGACAAAACACCTCATCTCAGTCATCTGTTGAGGACTTTGTTTGCAACCTTTCTCAAACTGGAAGCTTTCATTGATGGAAAATACTGACAGTGCTCTTGGATGCTGGCCTTAAAATATGTTTGAAATGTATTTTATTTTGTTAAATGTCTAAAGCTTAAGTATTTTTTCTGGAAAATTCATTTTTTCCTCGTAGTAAGTACTGCTGCTGTAATTCTGGTTAGCATCAAGCACTCAAATTGCTGGATGCACTGTGAATTTGTAATAATGTGCTACTAACTGGATGAATTTTGAGAACTTGTTTTAGATTTGTAGTGCTGTGAAATAAAGCTGCACACCTTCGTCTCTGTTTTATGAGCAGTAATCATGACACAATCTTCAGTATTACGGCTGTGTTCTGCTTCAAAGTACATTTGTTAGGTTGTTATTACTTGCATTGGTGTCTCCAATTTATTTTAAGTCGTCACGTTGCTTGGTGATTAATATAAAATGCTTTATTTAGGTTTTTACTCTCAAATCTTGAGATGAGTGAGAATTTTACTCTTGTTTCCAAGAGCCCAGGTTTTAAAAACAGTGATAATTTCCTGACAAGGTTTTTGCAGATATTACTGTAGTGTGCAAAAAGTCTGGAAATCTCCTGCGTTTTGAAGTGGAGTGAGTCTTATACTCGTTTTTGTGCAGTCCAGAATCTACTGCAGTAATATTTTTCTAAACATTATCACTGTCAATAAGAGATTGATGCTGTTGATTTGATAGAGAATTAGAAACATATCATGCAGTACTTCATAGCCTGTCATTTCTTGTAGGTATTTAGCAATAGATCCTTGTTATTGAGTATCCATTAGCTACTTTGTTAATTCTCTGGTTTACCCATATGTTGAAAATCAAGCTTTGCCTGCAGTGTGCTCCTGTGCTGAGGATGCAGCGTTTTTGTAAGTGTGCTGTGACTGGAATGGCATCATCTTTGATCAATGGCTGTTTCTTCATTTTCAAAAGTATTAGCTTTTAAGATGGTTTGAAATAGAAAACAATTGATGCAGTTTTGTTGAAAACAAACAAGAAAGCCTCAAACTGTATAGTTGTAGAAAAAGAAGTGAAATGTCTCTAAATAAGATACTACAACCATGTATAACCTTCTAGGGGAAGAACACAATCGCCACCATCTCCCCTTGCTCATTTTAACAAAATGTCCATTTAATATGTTATACATCTTTCAGTTTTCTAACTTTTCAGAAGAAAGTTATTATTATCAGATGTTTGTTTGCAATTGCTGGCAGAAATAATGGTTTATTTTTTTGAATTGTGAAATTCTTGCTTTCTTGGGCTTTGAGTTATAGACTATGTCTCCTGACAAAGTAATTTCAAACCTGGCCATCCGAAGGACTGACCCCACTGGGCTGGAGTGAAGGTCTCTCCTGTCCTCCACAGCCTTCAAAGGGTAGTCAGTTATGGACCATCAGAAGAAGAATCATACACAAATGCAAACAGTATACATGGGTAAGGCCACCAAAGCGTGGCACCAGGAGCGGGTGAGCCAGGGAGAGCTCATAACTTGCAGATTTATGGGGAGATTTTTTTTTTTCCCCACGCTTCCTCCTATAATTCGTTGCCTTGAGGCCAGCCACGCTTTTGTCACCTGTGTTGTGATGTGGTGCTGAGGCCACGTTTGCTCTGGTGCACAGTGTAGTGGGTTTCTTTGTTTTAAAAGTCCCTGCCTGGTTTTTGTGTAGCTTTGACCGCTGGGCGTGTGGGTGCGTTTTGGCTTTGATATGCTTTTGCCTTCCAATTCGTCTTCCATCATGAAGACTCGGCAACTCCTGTGGATCCAGTTCAGCTTCTGAGGTGCTGTTTTTCTGTCTGATCTCTCAGGATTTGTGATCCAGTAAGTAGAAAACTATTTCTAAATTCCTTTGTTTCTGATGTTGATAAAGTTTTTGAAGAGGGTTTTCATTGACTGTGGAATACGTGCCAGGCCAGATCTAGGTTCTGCTTGCAGATCTGATACAGATAGATGTTCATAAAGGCCATATGGCTTTTTTCCCTCTCCCTTGTTTGCTTCCAGAAGTGGAAAATGAAGAGTATATATAGATTAGCCTGCATTTACAGCTTTTTTCCAACTTAGTTCAATACTTCAAAGAGATACTTCTACTTAAAATCAAGACTGGGGAGGTTCGGTCTGACAGCATGTTGTCTTTATGGTGATGGATTTATTATTTTTTTGAAACAATTCCTTTGAAAAGGGATTTAAAGGAAGCATTGTTTTTTCTGACATTCTATTGAAAGGTTTGAGCACACCTTACAGTGTTTAAGAAAAACAAATAATTGGTGTTCAGGGAAGGGATTATTCTTGAAGGAGTAGGATGGAAGGAGCTAGCTGAATTACTGATTGTAACTTATTTGGGATTCACAAAAGCTCCACGGACTTTTCCACGCTAGGGACCTGTAGCTCTCAAATGCTCCACTCTGGCTCTTGGTGAGACATAGTGCCTAAGCAGATGCATAGGGATAGAGTAAATGTTTCCCCGTGCACTCCTGATTACCAGCTGTTCGTGGCTACAGGGCTTTTTTGAGTTGAAAGTGGCTTTGCGTTTAGCTTTGTATATTATAGCTCTTAATGAATTTCTGTTTTCCACGGCTCCCCTGTTGCTTTCTGGACCCAGAGCCTTAGATTGGCTTTGTGATGGGATGTGGCAGATGCTAGAGTGCAGCTGTAGGCTTTGTGAAGGTCCAGCTCCTTCAGTTTATTTGAGCCTGTCACCTGCTAGACTGGAAATTCAGTCAAGTTTCTAGGAGCTGTGATTTTGAAAATGGTAACAGCTTTCTGATATACTTGATTAGCAGAATTACTTACCGTATGCAAATACTAAAGCTTGGCATGTGTTCTGGAGTTCAGTCATTTTGTGTGATACAGATCAGGTTTCATCGTTAGGTTTTCCCGAGCACCAGCAGTTTGATTCCTTGGAGCATTTTTACTGGGAGAGGCGTCAAACACTTGATCTTTTGCATCCTATCTATGCTACTTATGACTTGTGTTTTCTTTTTCCCCATGTGGCGGACACCCATTTTGCCTATTTGTTCCTTGTACTGAAATCATTCTGTTGTTCTAATTGTTGTCACTGCTACTTTTATTTTTGGCTTGGTTTCACCCTGTGTCTATCAATAGATTTACTGGATCAGACTTGCACACAGGATTCAAGGTGAGGGTGTACCGTTGACTTGAAAAGGGGTGAAATGATAATTCTTGTTAAGCTTTCCAGTTTTTTATTTCACACCTCCCTCCACACCAGATAGCATCTTATTTCTTTCCTTTATAGGTGGTGAGCGTCAGGCCAGTGTGTGTGGGGCTCTTCACTGGTTCCTCTGCTTCGTTTCTGACTGTGTTTAAAAGTATCAGCAACTGATGTTCTATGCTTATTTCTCAAAGGAAACACTGTCCTCCATGTATAATGTATTCCTCCTTGCTAGTAGAGGCTATTTACTGCTCTCTTAGTATTTGGGGTATATAAAAATACCTGTAAAAGTTGGTACAACTTCATATTCTAGTGTTTATGAATTTACAATATCCTGTATTTTTAATTGTGGAAATTTTTCATGAATAATTGGTTCACTAGAATAAATTTACAAGATGGATGGTAGAGGGAATGTTTTTAATGAGTTGCACAGCTTCAAAGCATGGCATTATAGGAAAATAAAGTAGAAAGGAGTTTGAGAGATCCATCCCCCGGCCCTCTGTGGTGTCCTCTGTCCTGCTGATGATTTATCAAGGGCATTTGTTCTCATCTATCGTTCATTGCACCTGCTACATGATGCCAGCTGCAAATTCAGGAAGCACTGATTTTTCCTTCATTCCCCACGTGTTGAACAGTGCTGGGCTCAGATCTGACCCTGGTGGGACTCTGCTGAATACCTTTTTCCAGCTGGAGGGTGAACTGTTCTCCACATCTGGTTTTCCGAATTCTGTAGCTGTGCTTTCTTTGCCATTGATGGGTGTAGGCATCACCAGCCGGGTCACCCGAAACATCAGCCCAAAGCTTTTCCCGCCCTTGTTACAGTCTGGCATCCCCAGGCTTCGCTTCTGGCGTGTTTGTGGTGTGACTGGCATCGGGCAGCCATGGCAAGCTATTTATTACTCATCTTGGTGCTGGCTTCTTCATGCCTACAAAGGGTTTGATCATTATTCTGGATTTTTTCTGGAAATTAAAGTCAAGCAGCATATCTGTAATCACTGTTTCCTCTTACAGAGGAGATAGTTTGTTCAGATAGTTCCGGCCAAAGCACAGGGGAATGGCTCTTAATCCTCTCTGACCGCTCTTTTGTGCTTATTTATTTTGATGCTTTTAATTAGGTGTATTTTATTTAATGCAGGTGAAGCATTACTGCTCAGCTTACAGAAGTGAATGATGACTCTTAGTCAGATGGACAAAGTGCTGCTCTAAGGGACACACTGCAGTTGTCCTGACAGTGCAGAGATACCATAGGCTGTCACATGTCCTCTGCAGCCACCGTTCTACAGGATGTCTTTTACAACTGTAAAGACACCTACTGATTTTAAAAAAAAACCAAGACCCTAAGCTGTTAGTTCCTGGTACGTCTGCCAAAAGAGATTTGAAAACCTTTATATTTTGATTTCCAGCCTATACTTGGCCTTTGTGTCCCAATTCTGTCTTCCAGCATATGCTCTTTGACCTGCCTGGTACTTTTGGAGATGCCACTTGCATCTCATTTCAGGCTTTGCTTTGCCAGATCTGATAAGTCAATCCCTCTCTATGTCTCCTCCTCACCTGATTTATTTCTTCTGTGTACTGACTTTTGTTTCACTTCAGTTCTTTTGAATGTAGATGACCACAGCTGTACTTGGTTTTCCAGATGAGGTCTTAAAAATGGCTCACTTGCTGGCAGTGAAATTTCCCCTCCCTTCCCTCTTGGGAAGGTTAATCATTATGCAAGTGAGGTTGTTCTATTTAGTTGGTTGGTTGAGGGCTGTTTTCTGTGGCTCTCTGGAGGTTTTGTGCTCTGGCTCCCATCTTCTGCTACAGAACGCTTTCCCCAGATGTCACAGGTCATTTCTTGTGCATGGATTTGCATATAACAGATTTGTTTACAATATAAAGAGTGTTACTAATTCTTATTTGCCTACACATCCGCTCCCCTTATGATCCAGTATTGCTGTATAAAACCCAGTGCCTCGGGCCCTGTGGTTCCAGCCCTCTCAAGCATGAAGCATATGCAAAGTCCTGCTGTGGCCTGACTTTGCAGGAAAGCCTTTGGGGTTCAGATTTCATTTCACATAATGAATTATAGGGCTGTTTTTCAGCACTCACAGGCCTTTGTGTGGCAAAGAATGGCATGTCTTTCCTCTGTAGGGAATGCAGGTT